TGGGTGTTACTGAACTCGGGTCCTTAAGAAGGAGTTGTTGTGAGAAAAGATGAGGTTTATTTTTAAGAGAAGAATGCGTATTATGGCAGTGTTCTGCTCTTGTGGGGCTTTGGTGTGCTCTGGGGGTATGGGAAGGGGGAACAAGCAAAGGCTGTGTCTGAGCTTCTCTATGTCCATGAAAAACAGCCATTCCCTTCCTATCAGCCGCATATAACAAGCATTTCTCGGTGAAGAAAATAGCCCCAAAGTGGGTGTATTGGCAATCGCTCCTTCTCACCAGCCCGGGGCGCTGGAGGATGTGGGAGGTGTGGGAGGAACTGAGAGCTGTTTCCCAAACCGAGGGAACCACAGCGCTGTGAGTGCGATGCTGAGCAGCGCTGTGACCCCAGCAGCACCAGCACTGCATCCACCGTCCATCCTCACTGCGTGGGGAAGCTCAGCCCATCGCTGTGCATCGTTGGAGGTTTCTTCTCACTGCTCCATAACTCCAGGTCTGCTGTGTCCAGACAAACCATGCAGCGTGGACCGGAGCACGCAGTGATGTGTCGGGCCCTTATTGGGCTCCATAGATCCATCAGTAAATCAGCAGAGATACCGACAAGATGAGGGCAGCTTTACTCCACTCTTGGCTTTTTTCTACCTGAGATTTCAAGGCTGCCCCAAGCACTGCAGGCAGAGCCCCACGCAGCCCTACCAGCTCACACCAGCAGTCCTCTATTGGTGCACATTGCTGGTGACACAGAGCTGAACACAAGGAGGACCCTGTTGCACACAGCCTTTCCTCTATGCGAGCACTGCATTAAGGGACAGACAGACAGCTCCTGAGCAAACCCTTGGGAAAACTGCATGCCAGAATCCTCAGCTCAGCTCCATCTCCCCAGCAGTGAGAAGATCCCCACATCCCTAACACAGTACACGAGGTCCTCCTTCCTCCTCCTCCACCGCACCCCCCGGTGCCTCCACACCCCTGCAGGACCCCAACAACCGAAGCGATGCAGCAATCAGCATCACCCCCCTCTACTCCACTCCTCCTTTCGGTGGGGTGGGGGTCGGCACAACCGCGCTCATCATTCACTGTTAATTGCCGGGCGCTCGTTAGCTGCCACCGGGCCGATCCCCGCGTGTTCCCGCAGTGACGTGGGACCCGGACCCCAACCTCCCCCCTCCTCCATCCTTCCCCCCCCCAGCTCGAAGGCAGAGGAGCAAAAACTAATTAAGGCTACAAAGGAAACTCGGCGCTCCGCAAGGTTGAAAACCTCCATTCCAGAGCAGGGGCTGAGCCGATTAATTAGCGCTTTTGTCTGCGGCCGAGTTCAACATGTAGGGAACGATTTACATCAAGGGGACGTTCCCTTTGCTGTCGGAGCTCCTCGCAGCCTGCCCGGGGAGAGCTGAGCTGCAGGAAGGAGAACGAAGGAGGGGGGAAAAAGGGACGGGAATGAAAGGGAAGCGTTCGGCACGTCTCACGGACCGCGTCGAGGAGGAAGGGAAGATGCTGCATGCTCGAAGCACCGCATTGCAGAGGAGAAGGTGTTTTCATTCAGTGCATCATCCGTGGATTCTCATCCCCCTTCCAGCGAAATGTGGCCCCTGAGATGTGCAGGGGGCTCGAGGAGGGGGGGGGGTGGGACGGCTTTACGTGCAGGCGGCGCCGCTCGCGTGGTCACAGAGGGGATGGACACACGCGGCCAATGCCACCCCCGGTGGGACACCGTGTGGGGTGGGAGCAGGACGAAGCCGCCCCGCATCAGGCTGTTATCCGCCCTCAACCCCCGCCCGCGCACAGCCCCATCCCGCAGCATCCCACCCCCCTCTCCTCCGCCAACGAAACGGGGGAAGAATGAGCGATTTCAGCCCCAGCGCTCTCGCGGCCCCGCGCGGCTCCGCCCGGGAGGTGGCAGCACGGGATCGCGTTCAGTGTCACCCGGCCGGGCCCCCCCTGCACCCTTTGGTGCTGTGGATGAATCCCAAATTCGTGGTGGGGGCACGAGCTTCATTTCCGAGCGGGTCGGGGGCGGCAGAAGGCTCGGGGGGTGAATGAGGGGGGGGGGGTTGGAGTTGTGTCCATAGGGAGCAAAACAAAGCCCCGGAGCTGCTCTGAGCGATGCCTCTGAGCCCAGATGTAACTCACTCATGCCATGGGGCGCAGCACTGAGATCCCTTTTCCAGGTGGATTTGGTGGGATGGGGCTGGGACACTCCTATGACCACTCCCAACCCATGAGCACCATCACCCCCGGGTTCCCAGCATCCCTACAGTTTGAAGGGCTCAGCACGGCACAACACATTCATCCTTCTCCCCACCAACCATCCCCCCTGGGCAGGCCCCAGTCCTGGTACATCCTGGCAGAGCAGCTGACACTTCCGCAGTGATGCCCATCCCACTGCCCCCACCACCACTTCCTCACCCAAAAGCTCACCCACGTCCCTCCCTGCGCACACTGAACAGTTCTCCTCCTTCCCCAATCCTGGCTGCAGCACCACCGCGCTCAGCCCCACAGATTGGGGGTCTGTAGGAAGGGACCCCCAGGCATGGCCAGAGCTGGGGCTGTGCTGTTCAGCTGCGTGCTGCTGGTGATGGCTGGTAAGGGTGCTGCCTTTGGGGTGCTTTGAGGGATGGATGGAGGCACCGCTTTCACCGCTGGGGCGGGTGGGGAGTGGAGGGTGAGGGGATGTCACCAGCACACGTCACCCTGTCCCTCGCAGGTCTGCAGTGCTGCCATGCCCTCAAGGTGATGATAGGGAAGCGGGGAAAGATGCTGTCCTTCCCGCCGTTGCGCCCCTTTGCTGAGGACATTGTGAGGATCCTCTGGATTTCTGAAACCCACAGAACGCACATCGCCGAGGCCAAGCCTGGGACAAAGGAGTTTGCAGTGGATTTCCTGCCTGACTTCCAAGGCCGGCTGAGAATCCATCCCCAGTTGCTGTCGCTGGAGATCATGGAGCTGCGCAGGGCAGACGCAGGCCTGTACTTTGCAGAGGTGGACATCGCCTCCAAACCCAGCAGCCCCAGGAAGTTTACCTACCGTGTGTTGGTTCTCGGTGAGTGCCAGTGCCCCTGGGGGAGACATCTGATGGATCCCCACTGCACGGACCCCCTGACCCCAGCCCACTGGCCCTGCAGCTTCCTCTGGAGGATGTGGTGTGTGCAGAAATCCCCATTCCCGTTGTGGTAACATCACCACATTGCACCCAATGCATCCAGACTCGTTAACACCCGAATCCTTGGGGGAGGGGAGGGAGGGCGAGGGATGGATGGAGACATTTCCCCCCCACAGAGCACTCCCAGGCTGACCCCATGTCCCTCACACACAGATGACCCCCCTGGGACAACTGACGGTGACACAGGAGGACACAGCAGGAGCACAACTGGACCAGGAGTGAGCTCTGAGCCGCATGCTGGGGGGGGGACCACGCCAGACCCGGGCAAGGGGCAGCTCCTGGATGCTGGGGGGTCTCTGGGGCCATGTGGGGTGCAGGGTGGGTACTGCACATTCAGAGGGTATCTGGTGGCTGCTGTGTTTGGCCCACTGGTGGTGTTGCTGGTGGCTGTGCACGTGGTGACCAGGTGTTGAGACTGGGGGATGAGCAGGACCCACGCTGGGCTCCAGAGGGACAAGAGTGAGGTCTGAACCCACCCAGCACAGCTCCACTGTTCTCCCAGGATTGCTGGATTTACCCAGACAGAAAAAGCCACATTCACCCCAGTGAAGCCCTATAAGGGCATGAGATGCATGTCATCATCTCTTGCACAAGCCCCAAACCCAGTGACACTGCTTCCTCCCAGAGGCCACACAAACCCCACTGCGTCCCAGCACTCCCAGTCTGGGATCTCCTCCTTTATGGGGTCAGCACTGGATTCGTACCCGCAGCCCCGAATTCGGTGCGAGGTAACGATTCAGCATCTCATCCAACCTTCCACAGTTTATAAGAAGTGAATTATTTACTGGTGACCCCAACCAAACGCCACGCGGCATGAATTATGGACGGGCAGATCTGTCAAAAAGTTCTCATAAATAAGTGATCCGGTGCCATCTTCGTGTTCCCAGAAAATTACTCATTCAATCTCCTGTCTAAACGCTCTCCTGGGAAAACTCATCACGCCTGCTCTGCTGCTTTATGAATCGGGAGTGGGAAGGTAAAGGGCAATGGGGAGGGAGAGCCCCTTGGGACCCTCCCCCGTATCCATGTAATGTGGGGTGGGGTGGGGGGAGCTGCAGGGGTCACAACTTGGGGACCTGGGGAGCACAGAGCAGCACGGATCCTGCCCTTCCCTATGCATCTCTTCCACTTATTGGGAGTCATATCCTCTCCAGCACTACCAAAGGACCCCTCCAGATCCACGAGCAGAGCCTCACCACCGCTCCACAGCAACGCCGTGGCACAGAGGGAAAGCCCTAAGGCACATCCCATGTTCCCCACCACCCACCCAGCCACCCCCCCGCGTTTGCGTTAATAATTGAATGCCAGTCTGGGGGACAATGATTTATTTAAAGGAAACAGCGTGTTAACAAGAACACAATCTGATCCCCCGCCACAGACGTCTGCTTTATTAGCACCTCTGTCCGAGAGCAGCGCCCCGGAGGCAAACAAACAAACGTGGCAAATAAAACCCTCGTTTGGAGACACGCTCAGGAAATTACCATGTAAAAGGGGGAAGGAAAAAAAAAACAAAAACCCACAAATACACAAAAATAGAGGATGGAGGCACTGCTCCCATGCTGCTCACATCAGCGATGGAGCACTCGAGGTGAGGAATGTGCAGAGCTGGGAATGGGGCAGCCCCCCCTTTCCCCTCCCCCAGGGTGATGATGCTGGAGGTGATTTCGGCCAAATCAACGGATAATTGGCCAAACCGTGGATATTTTGGCCAAACCAATGGATATTTTGGCCATATCACGGATATTTTGGCCATATCATGGATATTTTGGCCCGAACCCCAGTATTTTGGCCCCATCCCCAGCACGCTGGCCAAACCCATAGCACCTTCCCCCCATTCCCCGCCCCAGCCTCCAAGCTCTTCTCTTCTTGGCACTGGGGAAGCCGTTGCTGCGCCGTTTGCTGGTGGGGAAACGGAGGCACCGAGCAGCAAAGCGGCCGAATCCCGAGGACGCCCCGCTGAGCTCTTTATCCCCGTGCCTCTTCCCGGTTGTGAAATTCTTTTTCCATCAGCCAAGCAGTCCAGAAGTTATTGGCAGAGAGCGGGAGCACGAGCTCATGAGCTGCATCTCCTCGGGAAAGCGGCTCCTGCAGCGCTCTGCAAATCACCGTGCGCCGAGCGGGCGGCAGCGGGCGAGCAGCACCCACCGCGCCCCCTCCTTCCCCCCCCCGGGGCCGTTAATTACCGTGGAATAGGGGTCACAGCGGCGGGAGCACAGGCAAAGAGCTCCCACGTAATTGCTTTACAAGAAATAATAATCGTAAAGAGAGCAGCCGCCGCTCTGCAGACTCGGCAGCCCGGTGTGGCTGCGGAGGGAAATCCACCTCCTTTCCGCGCCGAGGTGCTTTGCAGAGCTCGCAAATTATTTCTCCATCCCGGCGAACAGAAAGCAAAACCCATTTCCTTGGAGCACGGTGGGCGCAGGGAGAGGAACGCAGCCCCCCAAGGCCTCCAACCGAGGGGACGGCGGGGACCCCACGGTGTCACCAAGCGCTGCGCCCGTGCGGACCGGCCAAATCCCCGACGAGCCGCCTAACGAGCTCTTCGTTAGCCATTCCGCTCCAGCGCGCAGCTCGTAATGAGCAAAGGCGAGCGGCTGCCTCCAAATGGGCTCTGGAAGCCGCTCGCAGACATTAGGCTCTGTATAAATATCGTTATGATTGTTATTATTATTGGCACAGATGGGCTTTCATGGACCGCCGCGCACCGCGGGAGTTCCTGTTCTGCCTCCGGCGATCGGCGAGGGGGAGAAAACAAATTGCTGATGCCAACTCCACGCGGGGCGCGGGGGTGCTGAGAGCCCGGCCCCCAGCTGGGGGGGTGATGGTGACCCCGAGGTCAATGGGGGGCACGTGAAGCACGAGGACGGGCTCGCAGGCTCAGCCCACCCCATCCCGATGGGGGCCGGGAATCCTCCCCCCCCGTCTGCCACTTGTTGGTCCCAGCGCTGTCCCCATCCCCGCTGCTGGCAGCTCCTCCGCTGCGCTCCATCAGCACATTCCTCTCCTCTCCCCCCTGACCTCTCGCCCTTTCCTTTGCGCTCCACGAACTCCCGCACGTTTCCTCCTCCCCCCCCTCT